ACATAACATATGAAATGTCTAAATAAGTAATTCCAATTATAATCTCCTTCAATAAATTTTATAAATTATTTCTATTTTGTATAAAATAGTTTTGTTTAAATCAATATTATCAAATTTATATAAATAATTTTTATATTTATTATAAATAATTCAAAATATTTTATTAACATTTTCTCATCGAAGCCATTAAAAATCAGTTTATGTACTAATATATTAATATTAGATATTAAGAACTGTACATTGTTACAAATATTACAATACCTAAGAAGCTGTGAAAGTATAATACTCTGTGTGGTATTTGTTGGTACCTTACTGTTTGGAGAGCGAAATCCAAAAAATAAAAATATTAAATAATTTATTTTATTATAAATATGAAATTTCTATAATAAGTAATAATAAGTACTATATTTAGCGAGCTCTGAAATTTCTTTTTTCACACAATCTTAAGTATATATATATATATATTTTTCTGTTGAACGCAAAACTACACAGTAGATTATCTGCAGTTTGTTTACTGCAGTGAATCGAGCCCAGGATTTTAGCGTTGCAAGTCCGGAAACTGACCTATCAAGTCAGAGGTCATTATTACCTGGAGGTATTCAAAATCTTACTTTGATGTAAAGGCCTGATCTCACAAACTATTAGAAATAACCTAATTCCTCCTCCTTTTACTTTTGCTATTATATATTCGCTTTCATAAAAATTACAAAACTTTGACGCATAACCCTACAAAATAATATAATTACCGAAAATATTGTTCATGGTAAGGTTACACAGCCGATGATTTAAGGCATTTTAGTGTTACAGGTTTTAGGTTTCTTGTGTATTGATTTATGACATTATATATTTCATTTCAATTTTTGTTGCATAGAATTGGCGTTATTAATATACATGTTACTTTTGACCTGGCCTGGCATGTCTTGGTGGTTAGGTCACTCGACTCGCAATCTGTGGGCCGCGGATTCAAATTTCCGTCCCACCAAATAGTCTCGCCTTTTCAACCGTAAGGGCGTTATAATGTGTCGGTCAATCCCACTATTCGTTTGCGGGTGGGTAGTGATGACTAGCTGCCTTTCCTCTAGTATTTCACTGTTAAATTAGGGACGGCTAGCGCAGAGAGCTCTCGTGTAGCTTTGCGCGAAATTCAAACCAAACCTTTAATCTATATCGTAGATGGCCAACAGGCGGCTCGCGGGTATTTTATCCTGCCCTGTATTTTTTTTAATCATATTTTATTTTGCCCAAACTGGCAAAACGAAACAGTGACTAAGCAATTCAGTCCCATGACGGTTCTGAGAACATTTTTCAAATATAGACAGTAGGAATTAAAAGTATAGTTCGCTTACTTCCGATCACATACTACAAATAACACATCTTTTGTTGGGTGCTTAGTCAACATGAGTACAAAATCACTGGTGTTGATTTGTTTATCCTGAAAAATTTAATGATACGACGTGCAAGGTTGCAAACTCGTAGCCACATAATTGCTACATCTTGATGCGGGCTTTATCTATATGTATAGATACATAGATTTGAAGTGTATTGTAAATAATAATAGTAGTTTCTTGTTCCAATATGTTTCTAGGTTTTATAAAACGTTACTTAATATTTATTTTGATCTGAAAATTAAGAGTATTTCACATACACAAAGGATGCCATTTTACTTAGAAGTTCAAACACTTGTAGTATCCAGACATATTGAGTGTTTTCTAATCTCCTTTACTGGGCTGGTGGTTAAGGCACCTGACTTGCATTTTGCGGGACGCGTACTAAAATCCTGTCACCGATCACGCTCGCCGTTTCTTAGTCGTGGGGGTGTTATAATGTAACATTTAATCATATTTTTCATTGGTAAATGTAGCCCAGTATTTGGCGGTAGATGGTGTTAAGTAGCTGCCTTCCCCCTAGTCATCACTTCTAAATTAGGAACGGCTATCGCAAATAATCGTCGAGTAGCTTTGAACTAAATTCAACAACAACAACAACAAAATCTCTTTTATTTTATTTAATTATTTAGTTCATCTAAGAAAAATTTCAAAGTTTCTATCCATATCAGTGTTTGTGCAGTTTTAACAACAGAACATTGGTCAAGGAAGTGGCTAGGTTCCTTTCATCCTTGTTGCCTATTGTTCTGGGCCATTCTCCTATGTGCTATCACATGTGCTTTATCGTGGAAAAGATTTCTATAAAGCTTAACATATTATGTCAAATTAGACAGTGATATTTTCTACTGGCTGTTTATATGATACAATCTGCCTTAGTTTTCGATGAGAACGACCAACAATGATATAGATCGTTCATGCAATCTGAGAATAATAGCGTTATAGTTTCATTTATGTAATGGCATGTTTTCTCAATCTAGGAGAAATCTTCAGTTCTCCAGATTCAATCCATTAAATATGTTGTCCTCCTCTAATATATTCACTTTGATTGAGCTTGTGAAATAAATAAAAACTGTTTTCACTGTGTTTTACATTATGCCAAGTCTCTTTCTTTTTCACAACTCTGCCAAAGTCAGATAATTTGGGTTTACTCCCGCAAAATGTTTTTTGTTGAACCTCCTGTTATCTTAGCTTGACGATAATGACCAATATTTTCAACCCTAACAGCGAAACATTTACTCATTTATGTTCAAGCTTGGATGAAGTATTTTATTATTTAAAGACACCTTGATCGGAAGTGTTTTCTCATTCGAACTACAGCTTACTACCTTAAATTCTGAATTCAAATTGTTTTAGAGTTAAGGACAGAATTCCTGTTCTAAAACGATTACATGTATAATTGTTCTCGATGTGAACGAGGTTATATAGGTTCAATAGTTAGAATTTCTGAAATACGTACCTACAGCTAAAGAAACAAACTTCTCCGTCCAACTACATGCTCGGTATCGTGGAACACCAGCAAAAAACCAACACTTCAAGATGATGGTATATAGTTAATGAGGATATACTTCGGATAAACAAGCCCTGCTTTCTTGAGAAACCTACCCAACTATTCTTAGGAGAAATCAGAGAACCTAATAATACCACACTTTCGCCCTCTAAAGGTTTACAGTGTAACTTCCATAAAATATTTATTTTTCGTTTTTGATTGTTATTTGATATTTAATAATTTCTTTTAATTACAAAAAAAAACAAGAAAATAAAAAAATGACCAATCGAACCTTCATAACACATAAAGCGGATTTCGTTTGGTAAATCATGTAAAGTATAACAACTTAAAGTGTTAGTTCCATGAAGATATCTTAACAATGATGAAAACTCCAAAGCTTTATTTTAGTCATGAAACTGTATGTGACTTTTTTTTTAGTAGTTATGTTTGTTTGTTATGAATTTCGCGCAAAGCTACACGAGGGCTATCTGCGCTAGCTTTCCCTAATTTAGCAGTGTAAGACTAGAGAGAAGGCAGCTAATCATCACCACCCACCACCAACTCTTGGGGTACTCTTTTACCAACGAATAGTGGGATTGAACGCTACATTATAACGCCTCCACGGCTGAAAGTGCGAGCATGTTTGGTGTGAAGGGGAGTCGAACCCGCGACCCGCAGATTACGTGTCGAGCGCCCTAATTTTTTATTAGAACACGTTCTTTGTCTAGTTTTCTTTTCCAAGATGTTAGTTTACAGCATTGACTGCATGTATCTATTGAATTACTTAAATAAGTAAATAATTGTATTGCTAATATAATTTCTGTAACGAATTTATTACATATTTATTTTAATATCAACGTTTGTTTAGGATAAATTTATATTTAGAAACATACATAGCTTATACTGTTAAATATGTATTGCGAAATTCCCGCCTATTCTCCAAAGTTCTCGAGGGTAAGAATCAACAATATATGTGTGTACGTAAACACTTAAATTTGTATTGTTACGTAAAACTGAAATTTCTAGAAAGGCTTCCACACGCCAATAAATATAACCAACGCGCTGCGCCAAAAAAGAGAGTATATATTATTATTTTGCTATAGTCAGTATGATATAAACTTCAGAAGCTATAACTATGATTGTTGTAACGCTTATCAAT